TCGGATTCTGTGTCTCCTTCTCTCTCTGCCCCTCCCCAGTTCACGATCTGTCTCACTCTGTCTCTCAAAAATAACTTTAAAAAATGCAAAAAAAAATTTAAAAATTTATTTTTGAGAGAGAGAGAGAGAGAGAGAGAGAGCAAGTGAGCATGAGCAGGAGAGGGGCAGAGAGAGAGGGAGACAGAATCTGAGTTAGGCTCCAGGTTCTGAGCTGTCAGCACAGAGCCCAGTTGGGAGCTCGAACTTGCAAGCTGTGGGATCATGACTTGAGCTGAAGTCAGATGCCCAACTGACTGAGCCACCCAGGCACCACTTGATTTTAATATTTTTTAATTGTATGTTTGTTTTCTGTTTTATTTTATTTTTTACATTTTTTAAATGTTTTTTATTTATTTCTGAGAGAGAGAGAGAGAGCGAGAGCAAAGGAGGGTCAGAGAGAGAGAGATACACACACAATCTGAAACAGGCTCCAGGCTCTGAGCTGGCTGTCAGCACAGAGCCCGATGTGGGGCTTGAACCCACAACCATGAGATCATGATCTGAGCCGAAGCTGGACGTTTAACCGACTGAGCCACCTGTCTTCTATTTTATTAACTTCTTTCTTTATTATTTCCCTCCTGCTGTTTTTCATTTTTTGGTTTATTTTATTGTTCATTTTACCAGATGAGGACCTCACTGACTTCAATCCTTTTTCTTTCCTAATATGTGCATTATACCTGTTACTGTTTTTTTAAGTACAGCTTTAGCAGCATCCCACAAATTTTCATGTTATATTTTTGTTATTATTTAGTTTTTAAAAATAACAATTTTTATTGGATTTTTTCTTTTGATCCATAAGTTATTTGGAAATATACTGATTAATTTCCAAATATTTTTTTTTGGTGTCTTTTTGTTATTGATTTTGCTATTCTGTGGTCATAGAATATACACTTTCTGATTTTATTACTTGCAATATACAAGAAATATACTTGAAATACTTGAAATATACTATTGCTTTGTGTCTTAGCCTGTGTCAGTTTTGGTACATTTTCCAGGTATACTTGAAAGCTATTTTACTGTTTTGGAAATTTTTTTCTATTATATGCCAATTAGGATAAGTGGGTTACAAAAGCATGGGAATCAAGAGCAAAAATAAACTATTGGGACATCATCAAGATTAAAAGCTTGTGCATGGCCAAGGAAACAATCCATAAAACTAATAGGCAACCGACGGAATGGGAAAAAATAGTTGCAAATGACATATCAGATAAAGGTAATATCCAAAATCTATAAGGAACTCACCAAACTCCACACCTGAAAAACAAACAACCCAGTAAAGAACTGGGCAGAAGATATGAACAGACACTTCTCCAAAGAGGACATCCAGATGGCCAACAGACACATGAAACGATGCTCAGCACCCCTCCTCATCAGGGAAATACAAATCAAAACCACTCTGAGATACCACCTCACGCCAGTCAGAGTGGCTGAAATGAGCAAATCAGAGAACTCTAGATGCTGGCGAGGATGTGGAGAAACGGGCACCCTCCTACACTGTTGGTGGGAATGTAAACTGGTACAGCCCCTCTGGAAGACAGTGTGTAGGTTCCTCAAAAAATTAACAATAGAACTCCCTTATAGCCCAGCAAATAGCACTGCTAGGAATTTACCCAAGGGATACAGAAATGCTGATGCATAGGAGCACATGTACCCCACTGTTCACAGCAGCACTTTCAACAATAGCTAAAACATGGAAAGAGCCTAAGTGTCCATCAACAGACGAATGGATCAAGAAGATGTGGTTTATCTAAACGATGGAATACTACATGGCAATGAGAAACAATGAAATCTGGCCATGTGTAGCAACATAGATGGACCTTGAGGGTGTTATGCTGAGCGAAATAAGTCAGGCAGAGAAGGACAAATACCATATGTTTGTACGTATAGGAGGATTAGGAGGAACTTAACGGAGGACCGTGGTGGAGAAGAAGGGGGGAAATAGTGGGGGAGAGGGAGTGAGGCAAACCATGAGAGACTCTTGAATGCTGAGAACAAACTGAGGACTGATGGGTGTTGGGGGAGAGAGGGGAGATGGGCATGGAGGAGGGCACATGTAGGGTAGAGCACTGGGTGTTATATGGAAACCAACTTGACAATAAACTGTTTGTTAAAAAAAAAAGGGATAAGTGGGTTAATTTTGTTTTAATATCTTCTCTAAAAATGTCTATAAATATATAATTTTTGACTGCTGAGGGAAGTGTGATAAAATCTGTAAGTCAGGTCCATTTCTCCTTTCACTGTGCTTAATTTTGCTTTTTATATTGTGAAACTTGTTGCTAGGTATATATTAATTTAGAATTTTATACATTTTTGGTGGCTTGCCCCTTTGATTATCCTGAAATGTCTAGTAATACCTCTTGCTTAAAGTCTATTTGATAGTAGATAAAGGAGCACTATTTTATTTTTATGTTTGCATGGTATTTCTTTATTTTACTTTCAGTCCTCTCTATATTTTCAGTATACATCTTTTGTAAACAGCACAAATTTGAGTTTTATATTTTTAATCCATCTAATGCTGTCAGTCTTAATTCAAGTGCATACTACATTTAAATTTGGGTACTATCTTAAATAGTTAGGTTTAACCTCTCTTCTATTTGTCCTATCGGTTCTGTGTCCTCCCCCCTTCTCTTTTCTTGTTTTCTCTTGAAATAGGCAAGTATTTTTTATTATTTTGTTTTTCTCCTGTTACCTTTTTAGCTATACATTTTAATTGTTTCTTAGTGTTTATCCTACATATTATAATATATTTACTTGGCTTATCAAAGATTAATGCAAGAATTGTTCAAACACTTTGAGAACACTTTGATTCTCTTTACCCTCAAAACGTTGTTTTATACAGTTTATTCATTTATATTTATCTACATATTTGGGATCCTTATGATTGACCATTCTGAGGTTTGATGCTTCACCAGCAGGAGTCACGGGACTTACCATGGAGTTATACTGACAGCTCTGATTTATTATAATGCAAAGGATACAAGGTAGATTTACCAAAAGGAAAAGGCTCATGGGGCAAATTGTGGAGGAAGCCTGGTACAAACTTCCTAGAGTCCTCTCCTAGTGAAGTCGCAGAGGACATGTGTAATTCCTCTAGAAATGAGTTGAGACAGCATGTATGAAATATTGTCTACCAGGAAAACTCATTAGAGGCACAGTGCCTAAGGATCCACCCAATAAGCCAGTTTTCCATTATTCAGTTATCAACTAGTAAATAGCTTATGCTTTCTCCCCTCATTGATTTGTGATATATTAACACAGGTTTATCATATATTAAATTTATATGTATATGAATCTGACTCTGAACTATGTCCCATGTGGTCTTTTTAGTTTTATAACTTTTTTTTTTTTTTTTTTTTGAGAGAGAGAGAATGTGTATGTGAGTAGGGAAGGGGCAGGGGAAGAGGGAGGGGGAGAGAGAGAGAGAAAGAAAATCTTAAGCACAAGCCCAATGTAGGGCTCTCTAAACACCATGAGATCATGACCTGAGCCAAAGTCAAGAGTTGGATGCTTAACCAACTAAGCCACTCAGGAACCCCAGTTGTATAACTTTTACAGACTATTTTTATTCTTTAAATTTATTTTAAGGTCTTTTTTACTTTTGAGAGAGAGAGAGTGTGTGTGCGCATGTGAATGGGGGAGGGGCAGAGAGAACAGGGGACAGAGTATGAAGTGGGCTCTGTGCTGACAGCAGAGAGCCTTATGTGGGGCTCACATTCGTGAACTGTGAGATTATAACCAGAGCCAAAGTTAAGGCTCTTAACTGACTGAGCCATCCAGGTGCTCCATACATTATTTTTAATACTGTTAATTGTAGTCTGTCTTAATGTCTGGTAAGATAAATTCTGCTTATTTATTTGCATTATTGTTGACTTAGTTGTATATAGACCTTGATTCCTTAATACTGTTTTTAGGGAAGTTTTATTGTAATTTACCAAAAATATGCAGTCAGCATTTAAAAAAAATTTTTATTAAAAAACATTTTTTTAACATTTATTTATTTTGGAGAGACAGAGAGAGACAATCAGGAGAGAGTAAAAGGGAAATTCTAAAGACATCTCATGTGATTGTTATTTCTGTCATGATCCAGTTAGGAGGTAAAACCTATAGCAGTTTGTTTGTTTATTTTTGAGAGACAGAGAGACAGAGCATGAGTGGGGGAAGGACAGAGAGGGAGACACAGAATCTGAAGTAGACTCCAGGCTCTGAGCTGTCAACGCAGAGCCAGACTCAGGGCTCGAACTCACAAGCTGTGAGATCATGACCTGAGTCGAAGTTGAATGCTTAACTGACTGAGCCACCCAGGCTAGTTATTTTTACAGAGAAAATTTAATATAAAGAATAACCAATTATAAAATTATTAACTAGGTAATTGAAAGGCGGGTGGAACTATAGGAAGCCGTTCTCACTCCTAAGTCTAGGGAGAGCGGGGAGAAAGGGAATAGGTTGAGATTATTAAAACCTAGAAGCTGAGCTGTAACTCAGATACCTGAAGAATAGTCTCATAATTTGAAGGCTGATTCAGACCTCTTAGAAGGTGGCATTGCTAGTTCGGTGCTGCTGTCCCTTAAGGGTTGGTAGAATGACAGTCACAGGACTAGCAAATGTATAGGAAATCTATGGGATGTAAATAGGAGGGAATGAGTCCTTTCTTCCCCTTTCAGCTTTGTTATCTCCCTCTGGAGCTTTGCTCTAGCATTGGCAAAGCCTACCATGGAGCTAAAATAAATTTGCAGTCTCAGCCCCAGTATCACAGAGATGGGTATAGAAGCATATTTTTGCCTTCATCTCCCACATTTTTTAGTCTCCCTCCTTACCCTTCTACCATCATTTATATGCACAAGCACAAACAATTTGAAATGCCAGAAGTATGTAGTTTGGATTTATTATTATTTTTATTGGTAATGGTTCAGTCTGTATTTATGGGGTAGAAGATAAATCTTGTAATACTTTTCTCTTTGCAGGTCTCTATGCCTTACGGAGAGTCTTGAAGAAACAGCCTAACCTCTCTGATAGCAAGATGGCTGGGCTGGTGAAGATTACTCTGAATGATTTCTTACAAGGGATGAATGACATCAGGCCCAGTGCTATGAGGGAAGTAGCAATTGATGTACCAAATGTAAGTCATTTGTACTCCATGCTAACTATGCTGTTTGAGTTAAATTCTGAAAGAAACAGGGGCGCCTGGGTGGCTTAGTCGGTTAAGCATCCGACTTTTGCTTAGGTCATGATCTCGCGGTTCGTGGGTTCGAGCCCTGCGTCGGGCTCTGTGCTGACTGCCAGCTCAGAGCCTGGAGCCAATTTCAGAGTCTGTGTCTCCCTCTCTCTCTGACCCTCCCCTGCTCATGCTGTCTCTCTCTCTCTCTCTCCTAGAAATAAATAAAAAATATTAAAAAAAAAAATTCTGAAAGAAACAGAGACTGCAGAGACAACATGCCCAGGCTAAACTTAAAAATAAAAAGTTTTAATTGAAATTTTTATGGATGTAATTGGAGATTCAGGGCAGTTGTAAGAAATACTATAGGGAGATCCTGTGTATTCTTCACTTACTTTCCCCCGGAGTGGTAACATCTTGCAAACAATTAGTACATATCACAAGCAGGATATTGATAAAATCATTGATCTTATTCAGACTTCCACAGTGTTACTTGTACTTATGTGTGTGTGTGTTTAGTTCTGTGAAGTTTTATTACTTGTAAAATTTTGTGTATCCGTCACCGGAACTGAGTTACTGAATAGTTCCATCACCACAGTGATCTCCTGCTTTGCTGTTTCATAACCATACTAACCTTGTTCTGTACCTGTTTCTAAAATTCTGTCATTTTTGAAATGTTATGTAAATCAAATTATACAGTATACAGCCCTTCGATATTAGTTTTTTCCCATTTAGCATAATTCCAAGGAGATTCATCCAAGTTGTTACGTTCAACAATAGTTTGTTCCTTTCTGTTGCTGAGTCGTATTCCATGGTATGGCTGTACCATGGTTTGCTTAGTCATTCACCTGTTGAAGGATATCTGAGCTGTTTCCAGTTTTGGGTGATTATGAATAAAGCTGCTATGAACATTTATCTGCACGTATTGTGTAAATTTAAGTTTTTATTTTTCTGAAATGCCCAAGAGTGCAACTGCTGGATTATGCGCATATTTAGTCTTATAAGAAGATGTCAGCTAGGCTAATTTTAGAATTAAAAAAATCTTCAAGTTATGATGCCTGGTGTTTCCTCACGTTCTTTTACATTTTCTTCATCATTTACATGCTTTGCATAGTTCACTGTCAAGTCACCACAAGGGCATCAGAAGCTACCTTTTAAGGGAGGGGGGGATCATCTGTTACTTTCTCTTAGCACCCAAGTGGGCCTAACATTCAGGAAAGAAATGTTTCTTTGAATATATTAATATTTCTGGAAAACGAGCATTGAAACAAAGCATTGACACTGTGTCCTGCATTGTATTGGGGTAAGAGATGAGCTGTTTAAGTTGGCTTGATCATAAGGAGAGTGCTTATATCTTGGTATAGCTTGAGGATAGTTTACAGATCAGCTCTCTGACAGTTTAGGAGAGCACTGATGGAAGAATGGAACTCTGTGACTAGTCTTTCCATTTGCTTCTGTAATATCACCCCTTTAGTTTTTCTTTTTGAGTTTGTTGTATTGCTTCTGAGATACTCCCTTGTAAAAGCTCACACATTACCATTATTTAAAACTTAGAGCCATGTTAGAGAGTCAGGCATAGTTTTATACCCTTTTCCCCATTGTGTGGGGAAAGTTCTCTTGGTCATTAATGTTTTAATTGCTATAAGCTAAAACAAACAAAAAACTGAAAGAGACTAAAAAGATATTAAGTCAATGGAATAGACTGTGTGGAATGATACAGTGGGGAGAGATCAGTAGGTTTGTTTTCACTTTTGTTGTTTGTTTTGCTCGTTTGGTTTTCACTTTTAAAAGGGACTGTTCCTTGTAAAATGTATTTTGTGGCCAAATAAGTTTGGGAAGTACCGGCTTAAATAAAACCAATTGTATTTCTTTGCTGCAGGACTTTTCAGGGTTTTTTAATGTGAAGAAGTGTGAAAGAGAGCTATTATGGAAACTTATTTGGCCTTGGACCATGTGGAACAGATACTTTCTGCATTTTGCAATGTGGTAGATTGCACAAACTGACTGCAGATTTTTCCCACAATTTTGTTTGCTCCTTTTGCAGTGCAGCTTTGTAGCTCCTACCGTAAAAGAGATGGAGTCAGGTTTTCCACCCTTTGAATTTCTACTTGGCCATGTAACTAACTTGCTTTGGCTAATCGGATATTAGCAATCATGATGCAAGCCGACTTGAAAGCACTTGGGGCTTGCTTTTTCTTGTGGCTCTTGGAAACCCTGCATTCATTCTGCTAAGATATCTGTACTTGTTTCCTGTAAGATGAGATACCATATGGAGCATAAGTGAGCCCTCTTAGCTGAGATTCCCTCCTTTCAGTCATCCGGCCAATTGTCAGACATGTGACACATGTGTCAGACACAATGCTAGACTATCCCACCCCAGCTCAAGTTTACCCAGACCAGAAGAACCACCCAGTTAACTCTTAGAATTGTCAGAAATAATCAAATGTGTGTTGATTTGAGCCACTAAACTTTATGGTAGTTAGCAAAAGCGCAAGTGATGAAGATGCTTGCTTACTTCTTATAGAACACAGTTGTTTTGTAAATTAAGGTGGAAAACAGTGCCCTAAGTTAGGCACTAACTCTAAGGACTAACTTCTAGTTTAGGCAACTTAATGTGATTTTAATTTTTTTTTGAAAACTTTTTCAAACTCACTAATGAACTTATAGCTTAACTTTGGGGTTCTACAGAAGTTCTGTAGCAGAACATGCTAATTTAGTATGAATAAATTGACAAATGGATCTATGGAATAATCATTGATTGACGTTGGATTAGTAGAAGCTTTTCACTGAAATTTATGGTCTAAAGTTTGGGCACATTTGTATGAATATCTTGTATTTATCTGTGTTTTATTGGCTACTGTTACATAATGTAATGGATCAAGTAAACGCATAATCATCAAATGCCACATGTGAAAATTTCAAGTGATAGAGTTATAAACCAGCTACACCATCCAAAAACACTTTAGTGTTTAAAAAAATTTAGGATCTAAAGAAACATACAGTAAGTTTTTAAAATTTAAAACTACTGCCAATAGAGAATGTGTTTAAACAGTGGCTGTCCACTTTTGGAATTGCTAAACTGATTTATTCATCAGAGAAACTGGTACTACAACTGCGTTTTTAATTGCTCTAGTGAAAGATCTTTTTTTCCTTTATTTTCTTTTGATACAGTATTTACAATCCGTGGACTTGAGCCATTTTCCATTTGGCACTTTATTACTTGGCCTGAGGCCATGGTGTACTGTGATGTTACTCATGAACTCCAGAGTGATTAGCCCTAGTCAAAGTACTTTTTTACATTGCTTTTTACTTCAGATTGTAAAAATTTTCCTGAGAAGTCAACATTTCTATAATTGGATTGCTAAATTTTACTCTTCTGCCTTTAGCCTATTACATCTACAAAAAATATCTCCAAATTATTTCTGCAGGTTTACTACTTTGCTATAGAAAACCTGTATCAAGCTGGTATTTAATAGTCAACATTTTTTAATAGTAAATTGAGGATGCAGCATCTTTTGAGGTAAGATTTCAGCGTGTGAAATTAAAACTTCTAAATCACATTTGCCTAGTTATATTTAAGTTTCAAAGAAATGTCTTAAGATGGGAATATTGCCAATTATAATATAATGCATTATTAATTTCAGGAGACCATAAGTGTTAGCTACTTACTTAAATGTAATGTTTCCTTTTTGTGGACTTTCTGAATTGGTGATTGTACCAACTGGTGTATTAAAAGTCAAATGTGTTTTACAATTAATTGGTAATTAAAATAAAATGTATTTCTTTACCATAGGATTCCTTAGAATCTTGGACTATGTGAGCGTGCATTTTGAAATTTCAGTTTTTCACCCAGAAATAACAACTGTTAATATTTTGTTATAGTTCTAATAGTTTAAAAAATGTTTAAAGATTGTTTTTCTGTGCATATAGATATTTCAATATAACTAATCTTAGGGTATATAGTTTTATATTTTGCTTTTTTCACTTAAAATTATATGGTCACCATTTTACTTTAAAATTTTTCAGCAAACATCATTTTAATGACTATTTAATAGTTATGTGTTAAACTGTAATTGTTTTATCCTTCTTCCATTCTAAAAAATCTGTTTTCTTCCTGTTTTTCTCTAATATGGTTATACACATATTTATGTACAAACCTTTGCATTTATGATTCCCAGAAGTGGAATTACCAGACTAAAGTATGTGGTTTTAAAGTTTGGGGCAAATGTCATTAAGCCCTGTTTTTTTTCCCCCCAGAAAGATGTTTTAATTTATAATTATGTGATAAAAGTTTAAAATTATATAGAGCTTAAATAAAATCTTATTTTATTTTTACTTTAGTCCTTTTTAATTTGCCACTAGAGTTTAGTTTTCATTATGAGGAATAATACTGGATAATCTTTAGGTAGGGATTTAAAAAAAGAAAATGAAAACTATCAATTATATATCTTCTTTCTATAAAATTGTTAAATTTTTAGATAATGGGTCTAAGCTGGATGGCCTTTTAAGGAATTTTAAGTTCTATGAGAATAGTTCTTATTTTTATCCTTTATTTTTATCCTAGCACATGATAGATGTCCAATCAATATTTGTTGAATGGATAAGTGAACAACTATAATCTTCTTGAAAAACAAAAACAAAAACAGATGGTCAATTTCACATATATTTAAAGAATATTTCATCCTTCTTCTGTACTAAAGCATAATATAGTCTGTTAACCTTCATGTAACATTTTTCAGATTCTTCATATTTTATAAAACAAGTGGTTTCTTTAGCGAATTTTAATCCTGTTTATTCAGTGAACTTAACAATTTTGGAATAAATATGCCTGTAATATTGCTTAGTTGTCTGTATCCTTCCTAAGGATACAGAGTAGTCTTTTATATTTTCTGCCAAAACATGTTGCTTTCTTGATGTATTAAAAATTCTCATTTTATTAAGATAAACAAAATTTATCTAAAACT